CTGTACAGCCTAAGTAAGCATTTTCCTTGCACTGGTTTGAAGGCACTGTTATTTTTAACATAGGACTAGTGATTATTCTGCAAGGACTTACCATATTTTGCTTCACCATTGAGACCCTGCTTCTTTTCAAAGAATACACTTCAATTCATTCTATTTCGCCACACTCACCTTCAAGTATTTATCAAGTGATGTGGCCAGTACAGAACAAGTCAGACATGAATGATTGCTCCCGAGGAGAGTATATTCTGGGGTAATGGGACCCCGTGGCTGTTGCGGGCAAGGGGTGCAGGGGGAGTGGAGACCTCACCAGGGGGCCTGGGGGACGGAAGCCGTTCCCTGCGGAGGACCAGGGCTACCGTAGGGGGAAGTGCGCAGGGCCCACAGGTTTGAGGGGTGGCTCTTGCTGATCACGTGACACCTCTCCAGCGTCCAGCAGTGGGGCTTGTTCAAGGAGCACATGCCCTTCCCCGACCCAGCATGCAGGGGACTTGGGTACCCCGCTTCCTCTCTCTGGGTTTGTTTGGGTCACTTCATCTATAAATACTGGCACATTGGAGCTCAAAAAAAGTTAATCCCTTCTTTCAACAGACTGAGGTCTTTGTGGCAGTGTGGTAGATGTTGGGATCTCAGCAGTGAAGATGAAGGCAGTCTCTGTTCCCCAGACGGTTTCTTCTAGTGGATAAGCCAATAAATGAGCACGTAAATTAAATTACATAAAAATGTTAACAGGAGAGTATATTTTGGAGAAGTTTACACACAGGAAAAACTAGGAAAGAGTATAAACTAATCTGTACAATGCATCCACAAAGTAGTGTGTTTGGGGAAACGAGAGTATGGCCATGGTCTGGGAAGGTCTTACATCAGAGGAAAAGACTTGAAGCCTGCATAGGCAAAGAATGAAGAAGAGACTATTCCAGAAGGTAAATAATCTGAGCAAATGGGAAAGGACAAATGAGCTTGGAATCTTGGTCACTGCATTTTTGCCTGGAGCGGACATATATTGACTAATACATCCAGGACTCCTGTGTGTTTCTCCTGCTAAAACATCAAATTAAAAGATGCATTTAGTTAACACATTCTCTAGAGCTTAAGTAATAATCTATAACTACATAATGACCTATAATGGTATAGCACATTTCATATATAATTATATAATTCATAATATGCTAATATTATAGTTCATATTTAATGGTTATACTACATAAGTAATATATTGTAATATAATTCATAATATTAATGTATTGGTTAATATTAATATGTAAGTATATGATATATATAAATATGTTATACGGTTATAGTTATATATATAATAATTTATAATTAGCATTTTTAGGCCTCTTCATATGCATGGCTGAGTACTTTACATTTAATACTCACAGCAACCTTATGGGGGTAATTTTGATCTCCATTTTATTAACAAGGAAACAGTTCATGCACTTGAGCAAAGTCACATAGTAGACGATAATGTTGTACATGGACACAAAGTTGGAGAGCAAACCCCACATTCTTAACACAATGCCAAGCTACCAAGATACTCTACATACTGTAGAACCTTGAATATTGTACACTCAGGTACAATACAACATTAAGATATTATAACAACAAAAAAGAATCCCTTTAAGCAATTTCCCTTTTAGATGGAAAGAGAAGGTAAGATGTATAGAGCTGAAACTACTGAAGCAAGATCATGTGTGGCAATCATCTCTTCCTCAAGTCCTAAAAGTACATAAAAGGGCTTGGAGGTGTGGTTATTTGGGTAAGACTTCTTTGATTTGGTAATTTTGAGGGATCTACTATGCAAGGCCAAAGTAACATGCCACTTAGATTATTCCTAGGGCTTTGTGACTATATAGTGTCCAAACATCCCTTCCCAAGATGGTTAAAAATGCCAAGTCCCCAACTGAGCAAGACTTGGGTCATTTGGGAAATTACACCCATTGAATTTTTGACAGGATTTCTAGAGTATGTGTTTGAATACCGCTCACTCGTTCTTTTTCCAGTTTATGGGAAGCAAATTATCAACAACGATTAAAAGAATGAATAGAGTCACACACACACACACACAAACCTGGGCTTGAGTACTGACCCTGCCACAGTGGTCAGGAGTCTAGGTTGCTCACCTCAATGTTCAGCCATTGTACTTAGAGCGTGGCCGGGGGCAGCAGTCAGCTCCACCAGCAACTCGGTAGCAACACAGAATCTCAGGCCTCACCCTGGGCTGGCTGACTGGGAAGCTCTAGGGGCAGGGACCAGGAATCTGTGTTTTAACAAGCTTTCCAGGTTTGGGAAGCCCTGTGCTGGGCCTTACCTTCCTCATCAACAAAAGGGAGGTAATACAATACTAGTACCCTCTTCACAGCATCATGGTGAAGATCAACTGAGATAATGTACATAAAGTGCTTCACATGATGTCTAAAGTAAGAGTATTTGATAATTATTTTCTTTAATAATTTTGTTTTATTTTTTATTATTTTTGGTTTAGAAAGGAAAGAAACCAGAACCCCAAGCAGATTAACTCTGTCTGCCTTAGGTTTCAGCAGAAACCAGAGTTAGTGATGAAGACTTGCCTGACATCCACCTTATGTTAAGAAAATCTGAATTGTATAAACAGGTTTCTGTTGTGGTCATTCTTCGGCTCCTGTTTGAAAATGAAGGAGGTCTGGGACTGAGTGTTTTTACGGCCAGTTCAGAGGCTCTGTAGAACAGCTCTGATGGATGTGTGTGTCATACTGCAAAACACTCCCGACTGGAGCAGTTCAACTGGACAGTTTAAGAAAACCACCTCCAGGTTTCACATTTGGGAACACAAACACTTACGAAGTGGAGCGCTTCTTCCCAGGGAGAGGTGGCACCACGTCAGCTCCCTGTAAAGTGCCCATACGTATCAGGTGCTGAATAAAGGCCTGGTCAGGCCTGGTTTGACCCACTGTGGCCTGTTCCAAATCATCTGAATCCACTCTAACTTCTCTGCAAGTTTTATTTAGTGTTTATTTATATGAGTTTGGGCATCAGTCTTGCTAATAGCTTCCTTGCTTCTCACTTGCTCTTTCCCTCTCAGACAAAGGTCCATAAACTTTTCTGTAAAGGGCCGGATAGTAAATATTTCAAGGTTTGTGGGCCATGGGGTTTCTGTGGCAACTACTCAAGTCCACCATTGTAACTCAAAAGCAACCATAGACAAGGCATAACCAATTGAGTGTGGCTGTATCCCAATAAAACTTTATTTATAAAAACAGGTGGCGGGCTAGATTTGGCCCACAAGCTCCAGTTTGCTGACCTCTGACTCAGAATCTCTAAACATCCCATATAAAGGACCCAGATGACCAGGCAGAAGAATAATTCCGTGTCTACAGGTAAAGTTCTGGCTTAGAAGGAGTTCCTGGCCCCCACTGAGCCATGCCTCAGGTGATGAAAGATAAACAACACTAATTGTCCCTCCAGACCAGCTGAACCAAAACCCACTCTGAAACTGTTTTGCTCCCACCTGGTGGGAAAACACCTTCTCTCGGATTAACAACTTTTAATGAAGGTGTTGCCTCACAGGTTGGGACCAACCACATCAAGTTCCACATCTGGAACAAGGAAGTCTTCCTGTAAGTGACGAGATTGAAATGTTCAGATACCAATGAAGTAGAGGCCAGGGCCCAGACTTAAACCAGAAGAGTAGAGAGTGAATGCCAGAATCTTACTTTTCTAGAATAGTTTGGGGTATATAACTCCTGGTGTTTAGAGATAACTAAACTGGTCCCTCTGCAAAGAAGTAACCCAGAAGGTGTGGATATAATAAATTACTCTTTTATCCTTGCTAAAGTAATAATATGAATCTGTGTATGATACGACAGCAGAAGAAACCAGTTGACAAAAATTGTGACCTAGGCTGTTCTTTCGTTTGAAGAGTTTTTTGGAGTGCCAGGTGTGGTTTGAGACTCAGCCTTGTATGACTTATTCATTCCAAAGTTGGAATTTGCTTGGTTCCAAGGGAGCCATTTGTAACAAATGTCATTGGTGGCTTGTCCAACAGCCATTCCAACTCTCGCTTTCTTTTTTCCTTCAAGAAGAGCCATTAATTTTGTTGGAGTTCTACATGTAACAAAGATAAATCTTACTTGTTTTAATTCAGTGAGGATCATCCCATTAACCATAGCAGTGAGTTTATGGATGTTCATGTAGCCCAGTGCCACCTCACGAAAAATCAGGAAAAATCTATGAGGAGGCTTCAGGAAAAGGTACCTTCTCCCTTAAAAAGAGGCAGAGAGGAAAATGTGTTCTTGTGTGAGCACTGTGGATACAGAGCTTGGAACTGTGGTATCCATCTTGAACCCCGGGGAAAGCTAAGCTACGGATGACAAAACATAATAAACCTGCAGCTTCCTTGCCATGAGACTTTCTCTTATTGAGAAAGTAAGTGTTCCTTATTATGTAAACTATCTTGAATCTTCTGTTTCTCACAGCCAAGAGAATCCCAAATGATACCCATTCTTGTTTGGTCTCCCCCAAGCCAGTTCAGTCTCTCTGCTCCTATCAGCTCTCAAGCTCTCTGCTTTCACTATCCCCATCTCATCTTACCACCCAGTAGAGATTCGGAAACTGTGCCTTGTTTTATTTTGTCTTAATAGCCCTTGAGGTTGAGGTCTTACCTGTTAGGATTTCACCAGGGAGCCACTGGTCAGTAAAGAGTTATAAACACAGCTACTCACAGGCTGAAGTGATCTCAATTTGTGGTTTTGTTATTGGATGTGTTGGTAGTACTAACTAACGCTGCATTGTTTGTTTGTTTGTTTGTTTTTTCATTTATTCAGTGCAATTGTCATTCCCTAACAAAGATTGTAGACTAGTGGATACAATCAACTACATATGATGTAATGAGGGACCAGAGAAGGAACCGGGGGGGTGTGGAAGTCCAGAGGGAGGATCCGTCATGGCTTACCCAACAGTCAAAACCTTCACGTTTCTTCCATGCTTGCAGAGGCTCCTCCCCTATGAATGCCAGACACTCACTCCCCAGCCTCCGCTGCAGCTAAGGCATGCACATATGAGCTCCTTCTGGCCAGCGAGACATAAGGGAAAGCCTTCAAAGGACTTCTAAGAAGGATTTTCCTTGAAGATTAAGATCATCACAGAGAGGTATTTTCTTCCCTTTCTGCTCTTGGTTGCTTCCTGGGAGGGCATGGTTCAGAGCTACAACAGCCATCTTGTGGCCATGAAGTAAAAGCCAAGAGCATTGCAGAAAATGATTCTAAGTATTGACATTATTATATCATAGAACCAATCCTCTATCTGCATATCTCCAAATTTCTTATTATGTGATGATACCACTGTATTTTCCTATCTGTTACATATAGGCCGTAGCATGCTAAATGGGTATCTAACCTGGACTGGGGAATCTAAGAAGGCTTCCTGGAGGAAGTGACTCATAAGCTAAAGCATGAAAGATATGTACACATGATGTAATAGGAGGAGAGGTGATAAAGGAGAGTCCAGAGACTTGGAGGAGAGACTATAGCAAGTTTAAAAATGCAAAATCAGTGGCTATGGCTGAAGCATAAAATATTTTCTACGGAGTGGCAAGAGATAAGGTCCAGTAAGTAAAAGGGGGGGAAGGACAAATCATATGTAACCTTGTAAGTCATGTTAATAAATTTTGCTTTTTTCCTTAAGAACATTACAAACACTATTGAAATCTTTCTCATTCTCAGATCAGAGTTAATCACTTCTTTTATACACCCTGATCACACTGCTGATGGTTCACTGTCATTTGGCCCTATTAGGGGTTGTAATTTGTTAGCAAGTATTTGTTTCCTCCAATTTAACTCAATAATGCTCATCCCTTTATGCATACCAGTTATTGGTTTATGGATGAGCATGTAACCCAGTTCTGCCTAATGGAAAATAAAGAAAAATCTGCTGGGAAGCATCTGGAAAAGTTATCTTCTCCCTTAAAAAGAAGCATGGAGAGAATGTGTCTCCTGGAGGGCAGGCTATGTCTTACCTCATTTATATCAACCCCCTCCAACAAAACCTCACTGAGGTTTGTTGAATCAAATTGCTTATCTCATTAGAATTTATAGAACCTGGATCTATTTTAAAGTAGTTTGCCTTCCTTGATCCTTTCAATACCCCCATGAAACCTAGGGAGAGGTCCAGTCTTCTCACAGCTGGTTAGGGCAGAACTATAAGGGCTGGAACCAGGTTGTATCTCTCTTCATCCAGAAATGCTTTTCACTGTATCATACAGTTTTCCCCCCATAGCAAGTGCTTCCATCGCTAAGAGTTTGTACATTTATTCATTTGCAGTGAGGTCGCAGTTTGATGAAACTTTAAAAAAATTTTTTTTCCATGTAGTCATTGCCAGAAGCTTTGTGTGGTGGAAACATCCAGTCACACTTTCTTTTTCTTGGGGAGAACTGAGAGTGGTCCTTTGGTGTTAACAGACGTAGGGCAATAAAGCCTCTTTGTTGTGGTTTGAGAAAGGCTAGCATTCCATGTCCCCTGGTCTGTAAAGCTCACAGAATACTTCAGGCTGGAGGACACATTCGTGTAGCAACTCCCTTAGTTAGCATGACTAACTACCTATCATAACAGATGAACCTGAACATCTCAGTGGCTCAACTCAATGTTTTATTTCTCTCTCACATAGAGATTCATTTTTAGGGGGACCACATTAGAGACCCAGGCTCTTTCTCTCTTGTGGGTCCATCCTCCCCTGTGGTCCCTGCAATCTTCTGGGTCTAATAGACAGGGGAAGAGAGAGAGGAGCTTTCCATGGACCTCACTTCTGCCCACATTACACTGGGCAGGACTCAGTCATGTGGCTACACTTACCTGCATATAAGGATGGGAAAAGTAGCCCACCTCTATGCCCAGAAAGATAACCAAATGATTTTGAAAGACAAGTGGTCATCTCTGACTTAAGGGCCAAGGAGAATCTTGAGAAGAAAGTGGTGATAACCCTCCATCTTCTGAGGTTCAACTTTATAGTATTTCTTTTCTTTTCTTTTTAGAGAGAGAGAGTGTGTGAGTGGGGGTGGGGATGAAAAGGGAGGGGCATAGAGAGAGAGAGAGAATCTTAAGCAGGCTCCACATCTGACATGTGGCTCAATCTCACAACTCTGACATCATGACCTGAGCCGAAATCAAGAGTCAGATGCATAATTGACTGAGCCACCCAGACTCCCCAAACTTATAGTATTTCTGATGAACTAGGGTAGAGCAGAGGAGGCTGGGGTATGTAGAGGGGAATTCACCATAAGGGAGAGGATAGACCTGCCTGTTGATTCACCTCAAAGCCAAGATCCTGTTTTTCATGAGGGAAGATTAATTCCAAACATAACATATGGATGAAGTTAGAAATCCCTCCTTATCCAAATGGGTGAGTGTTTATATATTAAAAGAGCTGTGTCCTAAAGAATTGCATATATTTTGGGGACCCCATATGCCAATATAATTCCATTTAAAACCATAAAATAACCCATTCATTCATTCATTTATTTTTTTTCAACAAAGCTTATTGAGTACCTATCGTGTGCTTTGCACATTCTAGGTGGTGCGATACTGTTGTCCCTGCCCTCATGCCCTCAATAATAAATAAATATGATTTCAAGTAGCCATAAGCACAATGAAGAAAACAGAGTTTTGTTGCAAGGTTAAGAGATAGAACGTGTGTAGGGGAGAAGGGTCTGGCACTCTTCTAGATGGGATAAAGCAGGATTTGGTGAATGTTACCAAGGGAGAGAAAAGTTTCCTTTCCCCATTTCTAAGACCCAATAACATTGCTGCTGTGCCAAAAAAAAAAAAATAATATATATATATATATATATATTGATAACCAAACAATTTTCTGTGTTGGTCCAAGACTACTCCATTTTTCTGGACCTCTTGCTTTCAAGAGCCACTCTATGCAACTGTGGTGACAAAAATAATAGCATAAATGAGCTTTGTGTGTAGACTTATATTTTCCAGGATTTTTTCTGTAGAGGACAGTAATTAAGAAGGACCCCTGGGATTCTCAGACTTACCGCACGAGGTACAGCTCCTTAGCAATACACTGATGAGGGATCAGGCACCAGGATCGTGTAGTTTGAGCAGGACCAGGAATGTGACCTCACAGGTGGAGGAAGGGATATCCATTCTGCCTTCATCCCACAATTATTTCTTCAATACTTTCTATGTGTCAGATACCGTGTTAAGACCTGGAGATAAAGGAACAAATGTGGCACAAGCCTGACTTGAGAGGTGTTAGCCTGAAGGAAAAGAGAGAGCTGGATAGAAAAATCAAAGTTGTCCATGTACACGTGTTTATGCTCCCACTATGTGCAAAACCCTTCGGCCAATTCTGTAAACCACGGTGTGTAGCCTCTTGGGCTGCTTCACGTGCCCCTTCATGAATACGTGAGCACATTTTTCCTCCCCGAGGCGCTCCTCCCTGCAAGGGCACTGACTTCCTGCTCTTATTAACGATTCTGCAGGTGCTTCCCTCCTGAGGGACTTCAGCCTCGTTCTGCTTCATGACCGGGCAGCTGTAGGGGTCCCACAGGGCAAGATTCTTACCTTATCCTGGGATCCAGCCCCAACATATGTGTTCTCATTCTGACCCTCCCAGGTCACCCGATGGCTGCCAGAAACCGCGGGTCGCCGTTGTGCGTCAGTTCTCCAAAGTCAACCTTGTCATTCCACAGATGCTGTCAGAGGCCACGTCTGAATGCCATGCCAAAACAACTAGCCCAGAAGGAACATTTGGTCAATCTGGTTTGTCAGAAAGCCAAAAAATAAGACATTTGTTCGATTGAATTCATGCAAGAGTCGGTTTGTTTTATTTTTAGCTGAATTTAGTCTTGTTGGCAAGCGTATCTAGGCAGAGGTCTTGTCTCCTAGGGTTACAAGAGCTCACGTAGTCAACAGCCACCACAACAAAAATGTGTCCGCTTCCCCCCCACACCCCGATCTTCGTCTTATCTCCATAACCACTGTGGAAAGCAGGTGAGGGCCAGAACCTTGTCACTTCTCCATCACACACGGTAGATCTGTATTAATATTTGTGTCAGTCAGGGCCCTACCAGGAAAGAGGTGGCCTACCCAATTGGAATCACTTGGGGAAAGTGTAGCAGAAGGACAGTTTGCAAAGGTGCAGGCAGGTGTAGAGAAATGCCAGGGGATAGGGCAGTGACTCAGGACAGTAACAGAACTCTGGCGAGGCCTGGAGGGACATGGAGAGGGGGTGGAATGGAGAGACGGACAGACAGCCATCTTTGTCCAAGGAATGCATCCACTGTGTGTCTCATCCCTAGCAGGAGAGCTGGGGGGAATAGAACCCCAGCCTCACTCTCCTCCCTCCCTTAGATCACCTCTCTGGGGTCCCTCATAGCCAGACTTACCTGGCCTGAGGGCACAAAGCCTGTGGATATAACTCATATCTGTCAGCCTCCCGGAACACAGAAGAATCTGGAAGGGTGGAAAGTAGAGCTGGAAGAACAGACAGAAGGTGTCCAGCCCAGTACTGTGTCAACTAATTTCCCGGAGAATTTGATTCCACACCCTCTCCATGTAAGTCAGCATCTTACTTTTCAAGTTAAGCAGTCATGTGGATTCACAGACTCTTGAGCTTAGGGGAATTTGAAAGCACCAACTCCTCTGGGATGCAGAAAACGTCTCTCAAGTCCATCCTGCTCTTGAATGCCTCTGTTGATAAGAAGATCACTACATGTCAAGGCATTTGAGAGCACGTCTAATGAGAAGCCGCTGCAACCCAGCTCCCTTTTGCTCTGGTCTCTAGTGCTCTAGGTCACCAGAACAAGTCTAAATCCCCAGCTCTCTTTCACAAGGAAGGACGTTAGAACCTTAAAACTCCACATCTGGGCATGGGGTGAGGAGAAGCTGCAAAGCTTGGGCTGATCTCCCAGGCCAAGGCAGAAAGGATCTCATCTTGCAGAGAGGGTGGGGAAACCACTTCTCTCCTTGCATCCCACCACAAATGCCTCTAAAATTCAGAGCATCCTAAAAATGAAGACACAACTTTGAAATCCCTGAGAACCAGAGCTGGAACCCTTCCAACAGATTTAAGTATATTTCAAAGCCACACACTCCCTCGGCAAGACAGAAGAATCCAACAGTGATGGCCCACGGCTGTGTGTCTTTAATGAAAACCTAGCAGCTAAAAACACCCTCGGCCAGCTTCGAGGACCGCACTGCGTCTAGCCCGTTCCGTTTCATCTTTTCAAAAATCCCAGCCTGCAGAAAGCTGGGAAGGGCTGGGTTGTTTGCAGGAATCGGTGTAAAACGTAGACAGTAGTTTATTTGTTAGGCTGGTAACACATGAGAAATGGAGGAGAGATTTGTTTTCTGTAGCAGGAGGCAGATCAAGCCAGCTGGCAGTGTGCCTGAAACAAATAACCAAGAAACAACTAGATCTGTGTGAAATTTGGTGAGAAAGTTTAGAGTCGGTCGGGCAGGGAAGGGGCCGCCAGTGGAAGATAAAACGGGCAGAAGCAGAGAGGACAAAGATGGTCGAGTTCTCTTACAGCTAAACTCACTGCCCTATTTCTTTTGCACCAGTTTGAAGAGTTGAAATTGAATTGGGTTGGTTCCATTTTTTTTATATTTCTCTTCAGCAGCTGTAAGCTTTGAAAGATCAAGTTGGGACTATAAAGAAGTAGTTTCAGTCGTTACCCCACCGTTTACTATGGGAACTCAGATGCCACAACAACCCTGAAAGACACACGTTATGAGCCCATTTTTTAACCGTATAAATATTTTAAAATTTACATTCCGTAAAATTCACTTTCTTTTCTGAACAGTTAGTTCTATGAGTTTTCATAAAAGCATCCGGTTGTATAATCTCCACAGTGAAGATACAAAGCAGTTCTGTCACCTCAAATCTTCCCCCTCGTGCTAGACTTTTCTCCTCACAACCTCCCCGACCCAGCACTAACTCCTGGAAACTACTGTTCCTCTGTCCCTATTGTTCTGTCTTTTCTAAAATGTCCCATACATGAAATCATATAGAATAGAGCCTTTTGAGTCTGTCCTGGCCACATTTCCAAGTAACTCAAAGGACGCTCAGAGAAGTTCAGTAACCTGCCCAGGGTCACACAGCTAGAAAAGCAGAAATTTAAGTGCAAGCGCACCGATTCCAGATCTTATCCTTTTTCCCCAGTGCTGAGCTGGAACTCTGTTTCGTCATCTCCCTCATCAAGATTGTGGCAGAGGAGAGAGTGGGGGGAGGGTGGTACAATGAAATCATGGATGCAGAAGGACTTTGGAAAATGTAAAGCCCTTTGTGCAAAGCAGCATTGCTTCTTGTTTCTAGCAGTCTTTGTCCCAGGCCAAGCATTTGCAGGAGGGCATTGAGCTCTACTGAACGTGGTGGAATACCTTTGAAGCTAGCCCTATCAGTCTGTTTAAAGAAACTTTCTCTCTCTCTCTCTCTCTCTCTTTCTCTCTCTCTCCTAATGCTAATGTAAGAAGCACCTCAGGAGGTTAAAAGACCTATCTTGACTGGAAAAAAGAATCACTGCTTTCCACAAACACAGGTTTTATTTAATGGGATTTGGGCTGTGCAGGGGTGTTTTGGTCATCTGAAGGGATTTTTCTATTCTCAGGACATGAAAGTAACTGCTATGAAATAGAATTTGACTTGACTATTATGTCACAAGAAGTAAACATCATCTGCTGGCCTGATGGCTTGGATGCCTCTCTCTAAACTGCTTCTGCCAAAGGCTTTGAAATGTTTGCTTTCAGGCTGGATTCAACCAACAGAATATTTAGGGAAGAACATGCCAAAGCCCCACAAAGCAGATCCCTCTCTTGGTGAAGATAAACGTGCAAAGCTGTGGTTTTCTTGAAGCCATAGAAATATGAGTGTCGTCCCTTCTTCCACTCTGGCTCCCTCTAAATGTTATCAAAAGCAAAGGTCTTCTTTCTTTGTTACTGCTGCAGATGGGGCAGTTTTAGCAATAGGCCCCACCAATGCTCATGAGATATGTGGAGGGTCGCTCGGTTCCAACACTGCCCGGTGGAGAGATGATGCAAGCCGCACGTGCAATTTCTAATTCTGTAGGAGACATATCTTCAAAAGCAAAAAGAAATAATTGAAATTCATTTTAATGATGTATTTTAGGGCACCTGGGTGGCTCAGTCGTTAAGCGTCTGCCTTCAGCTCAGGTCATGATCCCAGGGTCCTGGGATCAAGCCCCGCATTGGGCTCCCTGCTCAGCGGGAAGCCTGCTTCTCCATCTCCCACTCCCCCTGCTTGTGTTCCCTCTCTCGCTGTCTCTCTCTCTGTCAAATAAATACATAAAATCTTTAAAAAATAATAATAATGAGAAGATCTAACAATTGTAAATATCTATGCCCTTAACATGGGAGCAGCCAATTATATAAGGCAATTAATAACAAAAGCAAAGAAACACATTGACAACAATACAATAATAGTGGGGGACTTTAACACCTCCCTGACTGAAATGGACAGATCATCTAAGCAAAAGATCAACAAGGAAATAAAGGCTTTAAATGACACACTGGACCAAATGGATTTCACAGACATATTCAGAACATTCCATCCCAAAACAACGGAATACACATTCTTCCCTAGTGCCCATGGAACATTCTCCAGAATTGATCACATCCTAGGTCACAAATCAGGTCTCAACCGGTACCCAAAGATTGGGATCATTCCCTGCATATTTTCAGACCACAATGCTTTGAAACTAGAACTCAATCACAAGAGGAAAGTCGGAAAGATCTCAAATACATGGAGGCTAAAGAGCATCCTACTAAAGAATGAATGGGTCAACCAGGAAATTAAAGAAGAATTAAAAAAATTCATGGAAACCAATGAAAATGAAAACACAACTGTTCAAAATCTTTGGGATACAGCAAAGGCAGTCCTGAGAGGAAAGTATATAGCAGTACAAGCCTTTCTCAAGAAACAAGAAAGGTCTCAAATACACAACCTAACCCTACACCTAAAGGAGCTGGAGAAAGAACAGCAAATAAAGCCTAAGCCCAGCAGGAGAAGAGAAATCATAAAGATCAGAGCAGAAATCAATGACATAGAAACCAAAAGAACAGTAGAACAGATCAACGAAACTAGGAGCTGGTCTTTTGAAAGAATTAACAAGATTGATAAACCCCTGGCCAGACTAATCAAAAAGAAAAGAGAAATGACCCAGTTCAACAAAATCATGAATGAAAGAGGAGAGATCACAACCAACACCAAAGAAATACAAACAATTCTAAGAACATATTATGAGCAACTCTATGCCCGCAAATTAGATAACCTGGAAGAAATGGATGCATTCCTAGAGATGTATCAACTACCAAAATTGAACCAGGAAGAAATAGAAAACCTGAACAAACCTATAACCACTAAGGAAATTGAAGCAGTCATCAAAAATCTCCCAACAAACAAAAGCCCAGGGCCAGATGGCTTCCCAGGGGAATTCTATCAGACATTCAAAGAAGAATTAATACCTATTCTCCTGAAGCTGTTCCAAAAAATAGAAATGGAAGGAAAACTTCCAAACTCATTTTATGAGGCCAGCATTACCTTGATCCCAAAACCAGACAAAGACCCCATCAAAAAGGAGAATGACAGACCAATATCCTTGATGAACATGGATGCAAAAATTCTCACCAACATACTAGCCAATAGGATCCAACAGTACATTAAAAGGATTATTCACCACAACCAAGCGGGATTTATCCCTGGGCTGCAAGGTTGGTTCAACATCCGCAAATCAATCAACATGATACAATACATTAACAAAACAAAGAACAAGAATCATATGATC